CATTCATTTCTGCCAGGAGCTCAAATTGTGCTCTATTTACTTCCCATGGTGCCTTCCCATCGAATTATTGTGGCTTCCTTCGTACTAGGTCACCCCTATTGCTGACACTCATATCTGGAATGTGACTTCTGACAGGACTAGAGATGTCTGCATTAGGGTTTAGCTGCAGGGTCTGGAAGGGGCTTCCTGTTGTATGGGGCTGATTAGGTCCATGGTTAATATATCCTCTCTGTGTAAAAGACAGTAAATCGTCCTTTAATGTATTTAATTCACTTTGAAATTTATTAATATTTTCGATTTGTGTGTGCTAGCTTTCTCTCAACTGTTGGAGACTTTTTTCTTGTCTATTTTCTTTCTCCTCCAACTACTGCTGTAGTTTCCCTTCTTGTTCATTTTCTTTCTCCTCCAACCATTGCTGCAGTCTCTCTTCTTGTTTCTTTTCTTTTTGCCTCCAACCACTGCTGTAGTCTTTTTTCTTGTTTATTTTCTTTTTCCTCTAACAATTGCTGTAATCTCTCTTCTTGTTTCTTATCTCGTTCTTCTTGTTTATTTTCTTTCTCCTCCAACCACTGCTGTAGTCTCTTTTCTTGTTTATTTTCTTTCTCCTCCAACCACTGCTGTAGCTTCTCTTCTTGTTTCTTTTCTTTTCCTCCAGCAACTGCTGTAATCTCTCTTGTTTATTTTGCTGTTCGAGCTGCCACTGTTGCATATTTTCTTGCCAGTGCTGTTGTCTCTCTTCTTGTTTCTTTTGCTGTTCTTGAATTGCTGCTATCATATCTGCTACGTTGTAATTTGATTTGCCACCTCTCGTTTCCATTTTGTTTTCTTCCCACTCTCTGACACCAATTTGTTGCTTATCTGATCGTTTGTTAATTTCCGGTAAAAATTCTTTCCGAGGAATTTCAGCGATATAAATCCTTTTTTATTAAAACTAATTTATTCTTTCTGAATACAACTTTGTAATACAGAGAATTTCCACAGTCACTTTAAACTTAACAATCTTTATAACACACGCT